ATAGCTATGATCCAAAGAAAAATGTGTTAGTTCTAACTGCATAATACCCCACCACCATCACCACCACCAAAAGCAGTTTCAGCTGCAATGGAGCACAGTAGACAGAATTGAGGGACAGTTGACAAATGCTAGGAAAGAAGTAACACTGAAAATTATATTTTTAAAATTATATTTATTCTATTTCCATGTGAAAAATAAATTACAATTGCTTAGAAGACTTAAGAGCAAAGTGGCAAAACTCCAGATATCTGTCGGCAGCCCCTTTCCCCCAAGAGGCAGTGCAGTGGCAGAGAGAGTGTGAAACAGGAGATGCTTCCTAGGATGGGTCTATGTCATGTGTGGATTTCAAAACAGCTGGAACAATATTAGCAATGGATAGAAATGGGTGGAAATGGGATATAGCTGTGAGATCCACCAAAATATGTCACTGAGCTATCACTAATGAAAAGCTTTAACATATATAGATAAATATAGGAGTGAGTAAAAGTTTGCAGTTTCAAAAACATCTTGTCACAGTTAAAGTGATGAGATTATTAATCAGTGCTAGAGCACCAAGCATTAGTCACCAAGGTCCTTTGGAAAGGGAAGCCTGAGTTGAGCAAGATAGTTCCTGTTTTGTGTGGAAGAAAGTCTGGCTTCCCACCTACACATTTCTTTTCAAACAGAACTTTACAAGCTTGCCGGCATATGGCTTGGGTACACGTGCCTTTCAAACATGAGCTCTGTTAGCACAGCATCTTCCTTGTGTGCTACTCTGCATTTCTAGTCCTCCCTAAAGAACAGTGCAAGACAAGCCTCGGCAGAAATTACCGTGCATTCTTGAATTAAAATTTACATTTATGATGGGAACACAGAGTGGTGTGTTTCTTATACTGCTGTCAGACCATCAAATCCAAGGTGCCATGCGCCTATTGTTGAGAACTGCAGACAACATACACAAGAGGTGTCTCTTGCTCTTTCTACACTGTGTCTAGATAAAACCTATGCTCCTTTTCCATCTTTAGTTACAGTGAAACCTCATCATGAGAGTCTGCCAACCTAATTATGTCAACTGCTCACACTCTCAGTCATTTCCTGACTCACCTGACAAGCCAGAGATTCACTACAACAGTCAGGTTTCCAGCACCCCAAATTGTAACTTTACAACCACTTCTCTTTCCAGAAATGGCAGCTGGGAGACAGCCTATTTCTCAGTCCTACCTACTTAGATGGGCTTCTTCAGCTCTTTTACATCTCCCTTCGCCAGGCACCTTACAGTGTTCTAATGCAGCATTTGCTGTGTATTTAATATACTTGAATTCTGCTTTCCCACAATGTTCAAGCAGTTTCCAACACAACCCTGAAACAATGTAAAACCCAGAATACAGACACTGATTAATACCACATCACGAGAAATGTATGTATGCATAACATGTCATCAAGTCATAGCCGACTTAGTGGTGACCCCTCCCCCCCCCCAGGGCTTTCAAGGCAGGAGCTAACAGAGATGGTTTGCTATTGCCTGGCTCTGCGTAGCAACCCTGGGATTCCTTGGTGGTCTCCCAGCCAAATACTAACAGGACCAACCCTGCTTAGCTTCCAAAATCAGATAAGATCAGGCTAGACTGGGCCATCCAGGTCATTGCAGTCCCAAGAAATATCGTATGAAAACCAAGTCCACAACAGAGACCAGCTGAGGCATGCCTTGTGGAACTTGTTTCCCTGATGCCCATCGTGTTCCACTCCTGACTTCCGCTAGCTCCATACATCTTATGGTTTCATTGTAGCAGGTACTCCTTTGCATATTAGGCCACACACCCCTAATGTAGCCAATCCTCCAAGAGCTTACAGAGCTCTTCTTACAGGAGCTACTGTAAGCTCTTGGAGGATTGGCTACATTAAGGGTGTGTCACTTAATATGCAAATGAGTACCTGCTACAAAAAGAGCCCTGCGATATACATATCTCCAATGGTTTCATATACATATCTCCAATGGTTTCATATACATATCTCCAATAGGATACAGTGGAAGGTACACATGACTAGCAAGTGGACCAATGCATATAGTCTTTGATGTGTACTGGAATATTGTCATGTCTACACTTTATTAGAGTTCTATGCTATTCTGCTAGCTAGGTAGACAGGGGAAATGGCACCGGCTTTAAGATTTTGCCATTCTCTCATTTACTACAAAACTAAAAGATGCAGGAACTGAGAGTCTAAATTCTACTTGCCATATGTAAAGAGAGCTGATGATTGGCATTGAATCCCTGTCTATATTCTAGGCTTTCTGTGTGGAACAGCAATTAAGCATCTTCTTGCATCAGTTGCTATTGTGTAACCAGGAAATAATGATGCATGTTTTCAGTTACATTGGTTGTTACTCTCATTGTCCGGTGCTGAAATAAATACCCCGGGATGTTTCACAACTATCTTACTTAAGAAGAAATAAATACCACAAACACATGAACATATGGAATTGCCTTACATGGAGACAGACTAGTCGGCCACTTGTCTGTTCTGATTCTCCATATACAGTTTGAGATTCTTCTAACTGGCGGTTTAAAGAATCGAACATCTTATGCAGACAAGACATGTGTTCTACCTCTGAACTATGTACCTACCACTCTGTCAAGGCAGGTCATGAACACTGTTCATTATCGGAATTTTAGTCATACAAAGTATTCAGTTAGCCAAATTCCCAACAACTCATCTCTGTACAAACTTAGCACAACTTACAGTATTTTAGCTAGCAGAATATTTTAACCACATTAATAAAGGGTCTGGTAGCACTTTAAAGACTAGCACACTTCCTGTGGCATCACCTATCCAGAATCAGAGCCCACTAAAGAGAAAAGTAGGTTATATTACCAAAAGTATATTACATTACCAAACACTCTGGTGTTTGGCTGCTGAAGACTAATATGGCTACCTTCTGGAATCTCAGTATTTTAGATGCCCCTAAAGCAAATGGTATATTTCCTAAATGAATTAACAGTGATGCAGAAAATACCAAAGTAACAACAATAAACAGCTTTGTTACAACTTTAGTTATTTATTGCACATACCCTGTTTTGGCTCCAAAGAGTGGCTTGCCTCCAAAAGAGTGGCATGATTCCTTTTAGTGGTCTCCCACTTAGGTAGCTTATAGATCCAAACTTGCCAAGCCTCAGCACTGGGTCTGCTTAATGTGCCTTCAGACTTTCCCAGGTCAGCTGAAATTCTACCAAGTGCTGAGGGGTAAGGCCACAAGAAAGCCCTAAGCCATATATGTCATTCTGAACTGCCATTTCCCCCCAGTTACCACCAGAGAGGTGTGGAAGAGTGACATTTATGACAGTGAGAAAAGGCAGCCGATCATAGGAGGTAGCTTGAGGGCTTGGTCCTCTGGTTTCCATTCTTTCCCCAAAGGGTCTTTCAGGGAACAGTTGCTGACCTAGGAAGACAGACCAAAGGTTCTTCCACATGGCCCGTTAACAGTTTATGTCTGAGGCCTCAGCAAAGTGACAGGAGACATCAACTAGGATAGAGTCTGGCTCCTAATGTCTACATAGACATAATGAGATTGTTGTTATTTTCATGGTATACAACATGACATATAAACATTTCTAAAACAACTGTCTTAAAAACTACAAATATCTCCAATATGCCTACACAGAACAAGCAGAAGCAGTTTTTCAAAACGTATAAAACTTACAAAAGAGTATAATTACAGCAGCCTTTCTTGGTATAAGAATATATTATTTGAAGACAACTTTTAAAATAAAAAAAAATGTACAACAGCAGAGGTCCTTATAATTTGCATCCATAAGGATAAATGCTAGTCTTTAGATAAGGAACCAGCAAAGTGCTTATGGTAGTATCAGCTGTTCAACCGCATGCTTTCCCATAATGCTCAGCTGCACTGTCTCACAGCATGGACTTGGCAAACCTCTAAAGGATCTTTGTGTCCATCATAGTGCTGGAATTAAAACACAAGCATCATTAGACCCAGAGAATGCATCATCATCTACCCAGAATATTTGGCAGAACTCAGATCTGCTGATTCAGCATACTTGTTAGCCACACAGAAGTGCTATGCTAATCCCTATTAGGTCACATAGCAGATCAGGGATAGGGTGGGATGTGAACGGGAAAAGGAGGCAAGGTCCAAATGTAAAACTGCTGTGCAAGCTCTTGTACAAAATAGTGCCACTTTTTTTTGTACATTCTGCTTACACACTTAAAGTTTAGCACTGAAAGATCTTGTGCATACATGCTCAGTAGGAAAAAGAATGGATTGGATCCAGACTAATCTTCTGTTCATGCAAGGCACTTATGTCAGTGGAACAGAACATTCCATCCTCCCCCCCCACCCCGCCAGAAGCTTACTGCCAGTTTGGTATAGTGGTTAAGTGCTTGGACTCTAATCTGGGAGAACTGGGTTTGATTCCCCACTCCTCCACTTGCAGCTGCTGGATGACCTTGGGCAAGCCATAGTTCTGTCAGAGCTGTCCTTGAAGGAGCAGTTCTTGAAAGAGCTCTCTCAGCCCCACCTACTTCACAGGGTGTCTGTTGTGGGGAGGGGAAGGGAAAGGAGTTTGTAAGCTGCTCTGAGATTCCGAGTGAAGGGTGGGGTATAAATCCAATCTCTTCCTCCTCCTCCTCCGTGGGGGACATGGGAACTTCAGGAGCAGCATGAGAGGCAACTGGGGGATTTGCTGCAGGAAGAATGAACTGGTAGAAATTACTGCACCCCTACCATTAATGGAAACTTTTAGTCTCGATCCAATCCAATATCTTTTACTGTTACTGAGCGAGAGTAGTTAGTATTCTGCCAGAAAGAGGAGTCTGCAGAACTTGAGATCTTCTATATGCTCACTAATTAAAAGCATCAATTAAGGATTAATGACCCTGGTACTAAAATCTGGAAACTTTTTCAGAGAACTGAAGAGGAATATTGCATTTGACTATCTGAAGTATCTAAAGGTTTGGACAATGTTCTCTAATTCTTAATTTGAAAGAACATGCATTACCTTGATGTGCCCTGTCATATGCTTTGCATCTTACTTTTCCCTGCCTTCTGTGGCCAAACTTTCATTCTTCTTCTTGTGTAACTAGAATTAAGAGCAGAATAGAATCACTGACTCACAGACAGATGAATGACAGCTGGTTCATTAGTTGAGTGATTGGGCATAACCTATACATTGCCATAGCATGAGTGCCATTTCTTTCTAATGGAGTTTGCAATGGCTCTTGTAGAGGTTTCTCTAAAACCAGTGCAGGTTATAAAGTAACAGGGATTGGTAGGCAGCAGCTACTATATTTCTTTCTCTGAGGCTTCAATGCTCCAACAATGGAAAAACCCATCAACCCAACTGGACTATATTTTCTCCAGTCTCTCCCCATATGTGCTGACAGAACAAGAATACAGCTAGTATGTGTATTCTACCACCCTGGCCACCAGACATCCATTACAGGTTTAATGTTTCTGTGGGATGTATACATGTGGAATCCAATCAGCAGGGGTCATTTCCTGCGGGAGCGCACAGGAGCGGAGCTCCAGCAGTAAGGAGCCCAGGGGGTGGGCACATGCAACAAGCCCCACCCCTGCTCCCAGCAGCCCTCAGCCAGGCCATGAGGAGCAAGGAGCAGCCAGGTAAGTTGCAGAGCCCCCCCCCCGGTCAGCCTGCAGGTACAAACTCTCCCTCCTCTGTGAGGGCAGATCTGTGCATTCCCCCCCATAGCTAGCAATCCAAAACAGTCCAGTGGAGCCTGAGCGGTGGGTGTTGCCTTCTGACACACTTCCGGTGATGTTAGGGGGTGTGGCATATGCAAATAAGTTATGTTAATAAGTTATTCTAATGAGCTCCTGCACCTGTTTTTCTACGAAATGACCCCTGCCAATCAGCATAGCCCAGATAAAGCAGCTGATTCCAGGAGTTTATCTGCATTGTCTATGCTGTTTAAAGCTACACATCTTGAATAGTACATATGCCATATTCAACCATTACACCAAGAATGGGACAGGCATGCTGGATAGGTGGGTGGGGAAATGCCCAATCATGCATTGTCTCCACTTGGTCATTGACATACAGTAATGATACTTAATGTTCCCAGCATCCTATCAGCAATTCCATAAACCAAATTATCTCATAATTCAGGATGCAAACAGATGTTGCCACTAATTGCTATTCAATTGTATAAGTCAATGGTGTCAAAAGTAATGATACAGGAATTGGCCTGTACTGTCATCCTACTATTGCCTGTCCACAGGTTTCCACAGTTCTGCAAACATCTATGAAACATATTTTGAAAAAAGAAAAGTGAGATAAAAGAAATTAGTATGGACAACAAAGGACATTATGCATCCTGCCACTTTCAGTCCTCTTAAAAGCCATTTTCTGCCTCTGACCTTGCTTGTGTTGGAAAAGGCAATGTCTGGTATACAAAGAAGAAGAGAAGAAGACCCTGAAGGGGACAGCAAGAAGACAATTAGATATTATGGTGAGGACAGCACCTTCTCTCTCCTGTTGGGTGTCAATCCTTGTCTGTCTCCAGATTGCTACTCTTTAGTGCAATTTCCTCCTTCTTCTCAGAAGTGCCACATTCAGTCTTACCCTCTCTCTCTCTCAGCTAGAGATGTAGTTAGGAACACATTTCTGTCTCTCCTCTTTCCTATCAAGTCTATTAGTTCCTAAAGAAACCTTTATCTACCCTTTAATCAGGTTATGCACTGTTGCTGTGTTAATTACTCTGCCAACAGGGGTTATGGTGGCCCAAATTAAGCGCATCTATGATTAAGGGTAGAAAGATCACCAGAGGCTCTTGGCATGAGCATACAAGAACAAAGATGGCAACCTCCTGTGGTGCACAGCATGTTCGCTGGATAGATAGGCTTACAGAAAGCAAACATCTAATTTGGAGAGAATGATGAAGACCCATCTCATTGAAAAAGGCTTGTGGACTGTTAGCTAGACAGACTGTCCGGCCAATGATGCAGAGCAACAGACTGCATGGAATGCCAAAAATGACCAGGCAAGAGGTGCCGTTATCACTGGTTTAACAGACAGACAGGCATTAAGAGTCATTAAGATGCCAACTGCTAAATCTGTTTGGGTTGAGTTGGAAAGATAGTGTGTAAAATCTTCCTTAAAGAGCCAGCTCTACCTTCAGAAATGTTTGTTTAGCATGAGAATGCAGGCTGGTGGGAATCTTCTCAAATGTCTTGACAAGATGTTGGAATTAGCTGAGCAATTGAGAAGTGCAGGAAAAGATATTGCTAATGAGAATGTGCTTGTGTTAATTTTATTCAGCCTACCAGAATCATATGAAAATACAGTGTCTTGAATTGAGTCTAAGAATGATTTGTTGCTCTGAAGTATTATCAATAGACTTGAGAAGGAATATGATGCATGGGAATTAAGAAGAGCAGAGACTAGCCAAATGGCTTTGAATATAAATAACAAAGGAGAGAAAAATTGTTACCTCTGTGGGAAGTGAAGCCGCATTAAGAGGGATTGAGGAAAGCCTTTCCCAAAGCAAAGGGGGAAAATGGCAAAGAATCTTAGATCAAATTTAAACAGCCAATAAAGAAATGTTTTATATTATCACCAGGAACCACAAAAAGTCATATTTGGTTTATAGACAGTGGGACCATGGCCCATCCGTGTGGTCAAAGAGATTTTTTTTAAACATTAGATGAGCAAAAGTGAAAGAAATTAAGTGTTGCAGGTGGACACTGTAACAGCTGAAGGTGTCAGCTCCGTGACAATAAAATGCAAGCTCCTGAATGGAGAAACCTGAGACATCCTTATTACAAACTGCCCTTATATCTTAAAACGAGCGAATAAACTTATCTCTGTAAGATCAGTGGCAAAGAAAAGAATGAGAGCATCTTTTGGAAAGGTATGTTTTATCAGACAGAAAGGAGAATTAATTGCTACTGGAGTAGTGAATCAGGATTTGTACGCTCTTGATGCTTATATGCAGAAAGGAAATCTTACAAAAGAATGAGAACACAAAGATTGCACCAGGCTATGGTACAGGAGACTGGGACACAGGGACAATTATGTAATTAGTCAGCTTGAAAGCCAGAATTTAACTAAAGGCATGCAAATGATGTCCTACTGAAGAAAGGTGTGTGTAGTGTGCAAGAGTGAAGGGGACAAGACCTAGCTTTAACAAGCAGCATGGCACAAGCCAAACACAGCAAGCAACCTCTAGAGCTGATCTACAGGGATGTTCGTGGACCAATGAAAACTCAAGATCCTTAGAGGGAATGAATATGTGCTGACTTTTATTGATGACTACTCAAGATACACTGTGAACTACCTAATTAAAGTGAAAAGTCAAGTGCTGGAAAAATTTAAACATATGTGGCGAATACATGGAATATGAGATGAAGAATTATTTGACTGAACATGGAATAGAGCATCAGCTTACAGTCCCATATACTCCAGAGCAGGATGGTGTAGCAATGGTGTAACAGAAAGGAAAAATTGCTTTCTCACTGAAATGTGCAGATGTATGCTCCTTGAAGCAGAGCTACCTGACAAGTTCTGGGGAGAAGCAATCAGCACTGCTACCTACCTGCAAAATAGATTACCTACTAAAGGTGCAAGTAGTACACCATTTGAACTGTGGTGTGGGCACAAACCCAGCTTGAATAATCTATAACTGTTTGGATCAAAGGCCTACACTTACATTCCTAAAGAAAAGCGGAACAAAATGGATCTTAGAGCAGAAGAAGGGATTTTTGTTGGCAATGCACTAGGATGCAAAGGATACAGAATCCTCAACCCAGAGACAGCAACAGTCAAGATCTGCAATGTAGTCAACATTGATGAAGAGGAGAAATCAAGCAACACAGAGAAAGTAGACATCAGTGAATCTATACCAACAGAGAAAAATGAAGCACAGCAAATCAAAACAGTGCATCTGCATACAATGCACAACACACATGACGCAGCTGCAGAACCAAGTATCACACAATCAACCAGATCAAACAAAGGAGTACCACCAAGAAGATTTTTTATCTGGCAAAGGTAGAAGCTATACCTGAGCCTTCCCCATGGGAAGAAATAGCAAGAATAGCTGCAAAAGAAGCAGAAGAATGGAAAAAAGCTGCAGAAGAAGAGATTGAATCTCAGAAGTATGGAGAAAACTATGATGAAACTTTTGTACCAGTGGTGAGACATACTTCAGTAAGAAGGCTCTTGAGCATAGCAGCAGCAAGGAAGATGCATGTGAAACATCTGGACATAAAGACTGCTTTTCTATGTGGAGAAATAAAGGAAGATGTTTACATGGAACAGCCACCAGGATTTGAACAGTCCAAAGGCAAGCAACTCATGTACAAATTGCAAAAGAGCATCTATGGGCTGAACTAGGCTGCAAAAAGTTATAATGAGAAACTTCATCAAATGCTAACCCAAGAAGGATTTGAGCAAGGCAAGGCAGAACATTGCCTATGCTCAAGGTATAGAGACAACAAATGGACTTACATTTCGACTTATGTGGATGACCTGATATCATGCTATGAAAACAAGGAGGACTGTGATGAGATAGTTCAGCATCTGAATCAAGAAGCAGAAGTGAAACAATTAGGAAAAATTAACTACTATCTTAGAATATAAACAGAACAAGAGGAAGATGGAAGCTATCTTCTCAACCAAAAGCAGAGAATCCTAGAATTTCTGGACGACATGAATATGAAAGGAGCTAAGCCAGCAGAAGCACTCCTATGGTGCCAGCAAAAGCACTACCTGAACCAGCAAGGAAGTAGTGAACTTCTGCCTGAAAACAGTGATACAGAGAAGCAATTGGAAGACTGCTGTACCTAATTACATTGATGCACCCCGATATCACAACAGCTGTGGGCATGTTATGAAGAAAGATGGAATCACCAAACAAAAGGGACCTGAAGTTGAATATGTATCCATAGCAGAAGTGTGCAGACAAATGAAATGGATACTGCAACCAATGCAAGATTTTGCGATGGAGGAACCCAAATCTTTGAAGACAACCAAGGGTGCATAAAGCTTGCACAAACAGAGAAGATAAACTCAAGAGCTTTCTAAACACATGGATGTGAATCATCACCTAGTAAGAAACAGGCAAGAAGAAAGGCTTGTTGAGTTGGAATACTGTCCTACAGTTGAAATGATTGCAGACACAGAAGAAGATGAATCTTGTGGACTTTGTACACTAGACCATGAGAAGAGGTGTTGGAAAAGGCAATGTCTGGTGTACAAAGAAGAAGACTGTGAAGGGGGCAGCAAGAAGACAATTAGGATAACGAGGACAGGGTTCCGGTTTATGGCGGCTCGCTCTTGGATGTGTCCCATCGACCCTCTGATGGCGATGTGCCAAGCTGAGGCGATCAGGAGGGGACTCTCAGCCTGGGGAGCCGGGATAAGCCTCTCCCAAGACGATGGCTGAGGGATCGAGGCTTGCCTGTCCCTGAGAGGTCCTGATGCCATGGAGCCAGTATGGTGACGAGAGCCGACCTCCGGACGAGCGGACAAGAAAATAAGTGAAAATAACCCTGGCAATAATCGAACTTGTCTAAACAGTGAGTTACCGTAATCAAACCTCTGTATAAGCGAAGAAGTCTCAGCTTGCTAGATTGACCAGAGAAAGAGCGGCGTGTGGGGAAGGGTTGGAGATCCAACCCCCCCCCCAAATGGAGCGGTCTCTAAGCGGTACAAAAAGGAAAGAAGGAACGAAACTTACTGCTTGAGACTTCATTTAAGCTTGAAAGCTATATTTTAAGCCCAAGAACATGGAATTCAGAGAAACTTTAATTTAAAACTAAAACGTTTCTTCACTGTAAACAAATGGCTGGGAGGGCGAGGAGAATGGCAGCGGAAAAGAAACTTCCACCAGGAGGTACTACACCAACGACTCCCAGTCAGACATAGGAATTGGCTGCAGACTTTCCCAATATGCTTGCCGCAGCACTACGCCCTCTGCTGGACCAGATGTCTACAATTAATACCAACCTGGATTCCATCCAAAAGCAACTTACCCAAATGGAAAAAAGAGCCAATAAGACAGATAAAAGGATCGAGAAAGTCGAAACAAGGACTATTGATATTAAGCAACAACTAAAAGAAGTTAAGAAGGAAAGAAATACAGATAAAAATCAACTACTTCAACCTCAGCTTGATAAATCTATGCATGTTCTACACTTCCAAGGAGTTTCTGAACAGAAGAGAGAAGACATAAAAACAACAATAAGTGGAGCGATAGCTTCAATTTCAGACCTTAAACAGGAGGATCTACAAAGTGACATGGACTTGGCATACCGTACTTACCCTGATTTTATAAGAAAAAAACCCTGTCTGGCGAAATGTATGTTAAATTCTCAAAGAGAACAATGAGAGACAATGTTTTAAAAGCTACTGCTGGGAAAACACTTAAAATCAATGAAGAAGACATTATAAAGACCTAATTCTTTTCCCACAAGACAAAGCAATAACTTACAGATGGAGCTTCCCAGAAGGAATCGTGTTCAAATACAACAACAAGAAAGTTAAAATTGACTCTGTCCAAAAGGCCAAAAACTTTTTGAAAAAACAATTGGGCATAGATAAAGATGAGTACCCTAATCTGGAAGAAGGAGAGGAACCCAGTGAGGAAGAATCAGATAATTCTTCAAGTGATTCCAGCAGTTCAATGTCAGAGTCTGAGAAAAGAGTAGCAGCGCCCAAAACTCCAAAAGTGAGGAAGAAGCCCAAGAGATAAACGTTTCCCCCCCCCTGGATTACAATATTACTTGACTTAAGTGTAATTAAGCTTTAATCGATAGAAGTTTGATCTCTCTGCTTTTATAATTCTATGTTTATCATGATATCAATATTATTGCAGAAGTGATGTATGCATGAGTCAGTTTATAAATATTCTTGTCAAAAGTTAGTGATAGGTTTTCCCCTGTACCCTTACCTTTAGAATGTAGGATATAGTTTATAAAATCAATAAAATATTATAAAAAGAAAAAAAGAAAGAAAGACAAGGATAGTGAGGACAGCACCTTCTCTCTCCTGTTAAATGTCATTCCTTGCCTGTGTCCAGATTGCTAGTCTGAGGGCAATTTCCCCCTTCTTCAGTCAGTGTTACTCTCTTTGTCTGCTAGAGATGGAGTTAGGAACCTAACTCTGTCTCTTCTCTTTCCTATCAAGTATGTTAGTTCCTAGATAAACCTTTACTTGCTCTTTAATTAGGTTGGGCACTGTTGCTGTGTTAATTACTCTGCCAACAACTGGGCTCTAGTAGTTTACTTAATCACTTGAGAATTCCACCTCTGATGCAGAAATCACAAAGCCTTTTTCAACAGGCATACATAATAAAATATAAATTTTGAATTCACCTACATGCTTCAAAGTTCCCATTTTCCTAGATCTATTCCTGCAGTTATGATGTAATTTAAGTGTAATGCAGCAGGGCCCCACAATTTGGGGGAGTTTCTACACAATGTCACCCTCTTTCTGAATACAACTCTTAGGGTTCCCAGGGCTTTCGTCTTTATATCAGAGAAAAGTGTTTTTCTTTGCTCTGGTTCAAAGGGAGGATGCATGGAGTGCCTGTGGGTGGAGCATCTCTGCAGATGTTTCATTCACAGCTGGTCTGGGAAAGGGAGGCAGAGGTGAACACTGCCTTCAAAATGTTGGAGCTCAGCTCTGCATGCCTCCCCGCCCCCCCAGTTCTTTAACGGGCTCCTTTTCCAGTCCACAGCTGAACTGCAGTGCTCTGAGCACCATGGCTCAGCAGTGAAGAAGCAAAGTGGGGTAGATAGGGCTACCATGAACAACCAGGACATGAACAACAAACTTAATGCAAATCTCCTGGTAAAAGGGGCAACAAAGTAATACATGTTCTGTGGTTTCAATCTCCCCTGTGCTACAGGGGCATAGCCTATTTTCCATCAGAACCTTTTTATATCGCCCCTCTAATACTGCAGAAGGGAGGGCTTGACATCTAGCACACAGAATGCCCTCCTGTGACTGGGTAATAACAGTGTTTTTGAATTTACTGAATTTATTGTAATGGAGGCTTGAGTATTTTCATAAGCTCTTGCTCTCCTTTCCAATTCACAATAACATTCGTTCTCATGCAACTTTTCATTTGAACCAGCCCAAGGGCTGAGGAGCCAAAGACCTTGTTGATCTGAACCACTGCCACCCACACACATCAGTGCACATCAACAAAAAGAATTCTTTCAGCATTACTGAGCTGGTCAGTGCATTTTCAGCATGGCTAAACTGTGTGGATTATATATATACTGTGAAGTCTCACACAGCTTCCTCCACAGCGACCGCTTTGATTGGAAAACAGAAGGGAGGGAGAGCACAGTTTGTTTTTTTAAACCCTTCTAACAAACCCTTCTAAAATACCTTGTCTGCCATGCACAGCAGGGTTACTGGAAAGGATGTAATTGAATTGGCTTGGCCTGGTAAAGAACATCCACCATTATGTGCCCATATACTTTATAAATTTCTCTCCACAAATTTTGTAAAATACTCAAGCTTTGCTGCAATATCTGTCAGCATTCACTTATGGCAATGCAAAGTACTTTGTAAATGAATGGTGTGTTTGTTAGTACTGCTACTGCCTCCTATTAATTCCAGAAGCATCTCTCACTGATTCAAAACACTTTCTATTTAATCATGATGATTAAGGAGCTGGGCTTTTGCATGCCATGACAGGTAGTGGTATTATTAATGATAAGGTTTGAAAGCTAAACACATAAAAGAAGACATTACCCAAAGTCTACGTAACATTCAGCGTTACCATAGGGCACGGAGAAATGGAAGTGCAGGCTGGCTGGAAAGATTAGACAGAATGGCATTAATGGAGATGGGGAAAGACAAGGAGTGGAGGCTGGCTTCCAGGATCTGGGTAGGAGACCGAGAGCACAGAAAGGCATGGAGGAGAAGGAGACAAAGTGCATCCTAAGAACCTGTTCTTCAGAACCTGGCTGCAAAGGCAATAAAAGCCTGTGAGTCTGCTGTCACTAAGGTGAACTCTTGATGCTGACCAGTGCGTGTATATGGCATTCCCTGGGCTGAAAGGTATGGAGGAGACTAAAAAGGCCTGGGGGAGACTGTCCATTGTCCTTGAAAATACCACACCAGATCAGCCACTGACTAACCCACAACAGGCCCCCTTTTATGATCCATGGGATTCAGAGATTACACATTTTTTGGATGCAGAGTTTTTAAAAATAGTGTCCTTTTAGGTCTCATTTGCCATGAAAGAATAAAGTCCCTAAGGGAAATTCCCAGGGTCCCAGTTCAAGCATGAAAGTCTGCACAGATCCTTTTAGGTCTTTGAGAAAGGAATCCTTGAAGGAGTCCTTCTTACCTCTTTCATACTGTCATCTATTTGCTTCAGCTGCTCATAGCGGTCCCTGGATTCCCACAGAGGTTGGAGCAACACTTCCTCAACCTCTGGAAAAAGCTAAAATAAAGCAAGAAAGCTACGTGAAATTTTATTCTCAAGAAGAGAGCAAGAGTCCAGTAGAACCATAATGACTCACAAAATTTGTGGCAGGGTATGAGCTTTGGTGAGTCACGGCTCACTTCTTCAGATACTGCTAGAACTCTAGAATTCCAGCTATATCTGAAGAAATGAGCAGTGACTTACGAAAGTTCATACTCTGCCACAAATGTTGTTAGTCTTTAAAGTGCTACTGGACTCTTGCTCTTTTCTACTGCTACAGACAGACTAACACGGCTACCCATCTCGATCTATTCTCAAGAGTTCGTTTAAAATATTTACATGATAAAAGTGAATCAAATTGGTATTGTAGATATATAACACACAGTATTAAATGGCATAATAGCTTGTTTAGAAGGTAGTGAATATATGGCCCTGGCCATTGGACAACATAAGGTTCTAATCACTCTGTATGTAGATTATATGGTCCTTCTGTCCTCAACCAAGATTGGCTTGAGGAGACTGCTGAATAAATTGGGTGAGTACTGCAATGTGGAAGGCTTGCGGATAAATTATGCCAAGTCAAAAGTTCTGTTTTTTACGAAACGCCCAAAGAAATCTACCTGGAGCATTCTTGGCACCCAGATCGAACAATGCAGCACGTATAAATATCTGGGTTTAACCTTTTCTGAAACTCTCTCCTGGTGCCCCCACCTTACATCATTAAAAGCTGCTGCTACGAAGAATTTGGGGCTCTACTGAAGTTCTACTTTTCTAAGGGAGGAGGCATGGTAGACCCAGTTGTTAAACTGTATGGGAGTAAGATAATTCCAGCCATGCTATATGGATCAGAGATCTGGGGCTGGGGAGATCAGAGATTGTCCTCATTAGAAATAGTACAGAATTATTTTATGAGGCAGATTCTCGCCTTGCCAAGGGGTAGGCCAGTGGCATTAATGAGGGCTGAACTGGGAAGTACCTCGTTGAATGCCAGAGTCAATGTCAGAATTCTATCCTATTGGAGAAAATGTTTAGAACGACTCCAGGATTCCCCGGGGGGGTTAAGTTTTAGTTTGCACCTGAAAGCCTCCAAGAGATTAGGTGACCATTTGGCCTCGATTCAATTGAAATTTTCAATTCCTGATGATCTATTAAGGAATAAAACTCAAGCACGGGAACTGAAGGAATGGGTGTTCAAAAAGGGTGGGCTTATGGATCAGGATGTGATGGCACGTTGTCTGACAGCACCATTATTCAAGTTTTTAAAAAAGGGATCACTGTAGGTCCCTATATTTAGGGAAGTTAACCAGCCTGGAATTAAGATTGGCTTTTACAACTTTAAGGTTTCAATCCATGCCCTCAGTGATCAGGACTGGATATTTCTTTGGTATCCCTGCCCCCCTTATACTTTGTCTTTGTGATATGGGGGAAGTTGATGATATTGTACATTATATTCTGAGATGCCCATGGCAGGAAGCCCCTAGGCTAAAGTACATCATCCCTATTATTCCGCAGCATAATGGACTCTCCGAACTGGATCTGGTCAAATTTTTACTCTTGGACCTTGACCACTATGTCTCTAGCAGAATGGCGCTATTTGCCTTAGCAACAAGGAAAATCAGAATGAGTTTAGTATTTAATGTAAAGTAGAAGGAGTATAGGAGTATACTCATATTTTTTTAATTGTTTATATTACCATTCATTAACATTATTCAGTCAGTTATGATTGCACTATTATGGGTATTTGACTGTAACTCTCATTGAAATAATTCAGATCCTTCCAAGTAAACATGAATATGATTTGGCTGTAAAGCTGTATACATGCATAAAACAAAAGTTCTGAAGAAAAAGCCACACTCTCTTTGGTTTTAGGGACCAAAAGTGTTCCATCTTGTGAGTGAGATAAAAAGGAATGTTTCTTCTATATTAATATCCAGTTTTTATAAATACTTACAATAAAAACTTAATATTTTAAATGCTTTGTCCAATTAAACAGGAACATTTTTGAGACAACCCACAAGTTTTGAATCAATTAATCCAATTGATTCAAGGCACTAAACACTGCCATTTTGTAGTTTACCTTTGTTATGATTTCAAACATTGGAATAAGGACAAACTTCAGGAAGCCAATCTGTGCTGTAGGTTTGGTCACTTTGTCTCGGTCCATGAAAGGGGCCACTGGAAGGCCTTCAGACTTTTCCCGGTCACTCTAAGACAGAGACAGCAAACTCCTTATGGTAATTTCCCACAAATAGGTAGTGAATACAATAAATCCCCTATCAATTACTATCAATACAATCCTAAGCATGTATAGTCAGATGAAAATCCCATTGGCTTCCATGAGACTTACTGTCTAGTAAGTGCATTTAGGATTGCAGCTGTATCACGGGACATTCCAAACTTCTCTCCACCCACCACATCATACAAAAGAAAGTGAAAGTTTCAAGGCAGGCGTCCAGGAGAAGGTGGACAGGACTGTGCACATTTGGGGGCTACGGAAGGGGGGGGGGGACACAATCCTGCACACAATCCAGAATTAGCAAGAAGAAAAGTGGGATTCTGCACCCTGTATACATTACAGACATTAGTTTGCTAATTATGAATATTTATTCTAATGTTCATGAAAAAGAGTGTCAGAGTAGGGTACCAACTCTGATTTATGAAATCCCTGGAGATTTGGAGGTAGAGCTTGGGGAGAATTGGAGTCTGGGGAGGGAAGTGAACTCAGCAGGGTGCAATGTCATACAGTCCACCCTCCAAAGCAGCCATATTCTCCAGCAGAACTGATCTCTGTTGTCTGGAGTTCAGCTGTAATTCTGGGATATCTCCAGGCCCCACCTAGAGGTTGGCAACCCTGGGACAAAGTTATGCGAGTGCGTGGGTAACGGAGCTGAAATCATTTTTTTAAAACTGCCGCTATCCGTATTAATGCTAGTCATTGCTTATGTTAGGGCTAAGCAGGCAATGCCAGTGCTCAAGCCTGGATCATGGAAGGCAAGAACAGAGGAATGTGCTCCTGAGCAAGTGAGAAGTACATTTTCCTCACTAATGAATGATGACACTCTGGTGAGAATTCCCTCCTATTGAAGTTTAGCAGAAGGGCTTTCCAAAACAAATGATGGCACACTCAAAGTCCCGGCATGTATTTTTCTTTCTCAGTCCCTACACATTCCTCTTCTTTATGCACTTCCTTCCTGCAGTGTTCCAACAAACTCCACTTCCCCTTTTCTATTACCCCCTTTCCAAAGCAAACTTTCACCAGAAAGAGCAAGATCTGAGTCCAGTAATACCTTAGAGACCAGCAACATCTTCAGGATATACGCTTTTAAAAGTCAAGGCTTCCGACATTAGATACTGTTTCTGACAGAGGGAACGCTGACTCTCGAAAGCTTGTACTCTGAAGATCTCGTAGATCTCTAATGGGCTACTGAGCTAGAATCTAGCTTTTCAACTGCAGACTAACATGGCTGCCCTCTGAAACTTTCCTCAGAAAAAAGTCAACAGTTGCCAACTGAAGAATTCCCCTATGCAGGAGTTATTCTGCAGGGCTGGCCTGGCAATTACAGTGCCAAGACTGGACAAGGGAAGCTATGAAGAGGTGCCTGTGTAAATTTCAAGGGTATGCAAATAATCCTTGATGACAGTCAGCGTTTAACCATGTTTATGCAGAAGGAAGTGTCTCTTTTGGGGTGGGTGTCTTGATTCAGGTTGGAGCTATAGTGGGGAGGAAAGAAGAGTTTTAATCCATTCCCTGCATGCTGTTATGGGGACATCAAATGGGCTTCCAGAGCTGCTGTGTGTCCTGTTAACTGCCAACATAGAAGCAGCCTCTGTATTTTCCCAAATGCACAAAGAGTAGCTCTGGGAGTCTTTTGGGTCTGGAGAATGGCATAGGGGGGTATTAACACAGCCTTTGCTGCAGTCCTTTTCCAAACTGGGGGACACAGCTGCTATTTACCAATTAAACACACACACAAGATCACCCAGAGTCTTGTCTAATGTGTCACTTAGTTCCAAGTATTTCTATCATTTCCAGATATGGACCATGTTCAGACACTGGACTGATGAGCAGGGTAAGGTTACTTAGAATTGATTTTCTTTTGTCCAAGTTGGGGGGAAAACAGTGTTCAGGGTCAAACAAATGAAGGGCGACCTCAGCACTTTATCGAGAGCTGTCACTTTTTGACTGGTCTGGTCCACTGAATACAGCTGATACATTTTCTCCACATAAGAAACCACAGAAGTGCCTACTTGTGCTTCCTATCACGATTAAGCGATGTTTGACATTCAGCCAGCTGCCCCAGCTTGTACACACGCTAATTTATTAGCATGTGGGAGGGCCACTTGGCTGTCACTTTGTTTTTTTGTTCATTCCTGTAAGAAACCACCTCCAGTGGAAATCCAGTGATAACTGTGGGACCATAAGGTGTTTTTAATACTAATGAGATTGTCCTTTTGAAATTATCAGAGAGCTCTTTCTTTCTTTCTTTCTTTCTTTCTTTCTTTCTTTCTTTCTTTCTTTCTTTCTTTCTTTCTTTCTTTCTTTCTTTCTTTCTTTCTTTCCTAACAAAAAACACTATTCCAGGCCTTAGTCTTCGACTTAGTCATAACTGTTTCAAAGCAATCTATGCAGATATAAATAATCCAAACCTGACCCACTTAGCGCTGCTCATTTAATTGACTTTTTCTACAGTCACAGTACTTGCCCTTTCGGGCTTCACTCCTGTTTACATGCTGAGTTAACTTGCAAAAACAGCCCTATTAGAGAGAACAAAGCGGCAATCTAGTGACATTTGCATTTCTAAACTGTGATGGACTTTTTTGGTTATAAATTACAGTCAATTACAGCCACTTTTATTTGGTGAATCTTGTCATAATGACTCACTTCTCTGACTTTACAGAGATAATTATTTCACTTAGGTGGACAGAGCATGTCAGACATTGTTACCTGATGGCTTTTAGTTATAGGGCTGAAAGACTGCATTGCTACATAAGATGTACTCTCACCTGCATAAAATACTCCTCTAATAAGCAGTCTACCCATGGTTCAGCCACTTCCATTGGGCGTACTTCATTGGAGATGTCGCAGCATTTGATCAGTACCATCTTCAGCTGAAAGTAGGAAAACACCATGGTTAAGAGAGCTGCCATACTTATGTGTGCCATTTATCAGACATGGTTTCCTCCATTTTACACTGGGACCAAAGTAACACAGAACTCCAGTCATGAGTAATGGAAAACAACAAAGCACTTGCTATTGACCTCAAGGCAATATAGTTTGTGCTTACATTGCATCCACATATTGTTGCATATTGCACTTTTGTTGTGCTATAGCAATCATTTGTGACTGGATTGTCTTATGTACACAGGAAAATTCAGACTTGAATTAAGAACATAAGAACATAAGAGAAGCCAATGTTAGATCAGGCCAATGGCCCATCCAGTCCAACACTCTGCCACACAGTGGCCAAAAATACCAGGTGCCATCAGGAGGTCCAGCAGTGGGGCCAGGACACTAGAAGCCCTCCCACTATTGCCCCCCAAGCACCAAGAATACAGAGCATCAGTTGCCCCAGTCTGAGAGTTCCTATCTATACCTTGCGGCTAATAGCCACTGATGGACCTCTGCTCCATATGCTTATCTAATTCCCTCTTGAAGCTGTAGGTCAATAACAGTGCAATATCCAACAGTGTGTGGGTGTGATCAGTCTCCCCATCTTGAACTCCATGTGTCCTCTAACTGACACATGGTGTTCCTGCATCTGGGAGCTGTTCCTTGTCATGTGAATGGGACACTAACTTGTGGGCAGGTGAGGCCTATGTGCACAATGGAGGCTCTGTGCCCAGAGCAGATAAGTATTATAATCTATATCCTGTTCTGCCTGCTATAAGGGTGTTATTTAAACTTGATATGCATGGATTCTGTATTGTCAGAGAGTTCACAGACTTGTAGAAAAACCATCACCATCTCCCTTATATATAAAAGCCGAATGGTGGTGGCACTTCTCTAGAATATTCCACACGCTCCGTAATTGGTTGGCGCCCTGGTATGTCACTCAAAATCGGTCCCTATCCACTGGCTGCATTGCTTGAGTCTCACCTCCAACATTCTAAACATTTTGCTAATCCTTTCCCCACATAGCCAGTCAGAACATAGAGGTTATTTGCATATGCAGCCTCATTGGCCTCTGCCTCGGAACACAGAGGTCGTTTGCATATGCAACTTGATTGGCTTTTGCCTCTAACATTCTAAACAGTTTTGCTGTTCTGAGGTAAAATGTGTCCAATCTCCAGGTGAGGGCTGGAGATCACTCAGAATTACAACGGCTTTCCAGACGGCAGAGATCAGTTCCCCTGGAGAAAATGGTGGGCTCTGTATCCTTATATGCTGCTGAGGTGGCCCCCGTATGACAGCCAATGTGACGTAGCTTCAGAGCACGGGAGAGGCTGCAGGTGTGTGGGGGGTGGAAAGCTGAAGAGTGAGGGGAAAATAAAGGTAGGTTGATGATTGGCTGGGAAGGAGATAGGGTTGCCAACTCCAGGTGGGAAATTCCTGGAGATGTGAGGGATGGAGCCTGGAGAGGGTGAGGTTTCAGGAGGCGTGGGACCTCGGACAGGTACAAAGCCATAGACTCCGCCCTCCAAACAAACCATTCCCTTCTGGGGAACCATCATTGCCAATCTCCAGGTGAGGGCTGGAGATCACTCAAAATTACAACTGTTCTTTAGGTACCAGAGATCAGTTCCTCTGGAGAAAATGGTGGACTCAGTGTCATTATACCCTACTGAGGTCGCCACAGCAAATTGGCACTGAGTGTCCAAGGCCGGGGTACCTACCCAGAGCCTCTTTCTAGAGTTCGTTGTATTTATTTCCACAACGAGCCTTTTTCCTAATATTCAATAAATATCTTCCCTCACCACTATTATTTATATATTTAGAAAATGTATATGCCACCTCTCTGGAGAACCTGCTTGAGGTGGCTTACAAAGTAAAACATGATAAAACCATAAAAGCATCAATTCAATAAAATTGACAAACTGTTTAAAAAAACACACACCCTCACCCTATAAAATGCAGCCATAGCATAAAGCATAACATTAGCAGCATAAAATGATCCTCATAAAATAGTCCTCAGGTTAGAAGCAGACCATGAAAACAATTTTAAAAAATCAACCCCCTTAGCAAAAAGCCTGGGTAAAAAGAAATATTTTGGTCTCATGCTTAACAGAGAGTAGGACAGATGCCAGGCAAGACTTCAGGGGGCAGGCATCCCACAGAAGAGGTGCCACCAGTAAAAAAGCCTTTTCTGTGGACATAACCCACCCGGGGTTGCAGTGTTCCCTCTAAGCTGAGTTACTGTGAGCTAGCTCACAGTTTTTTAGCCTCCAGCTCACAGATTTTTGTCTTAGGTCAGGAAGGATGGCTCCAGAGCAAACTAATTTATGCAGTAGCCAAATCGCTTGCTCACAACTTTAATGCCAGTACCTCACAAAGAGGAATTTTTGCTCACAAGACTCCACAGTTTAGAGGGAGCATTGTTGCTAACTATGAGTTGAGAAATTCCTGGAGATTTTGGAGCCTGGAGAGGACAGGCTTTGGGGGAAGCAGGTATCTCAGCAGGGTATTCTCTGTGCAGAATCCATTAACATAATCAGAGAAAGCTATGGTGGTAGCAGCACAGGATGCGGAGGGAGAAATGCTCATTCCTTAAGCTGGATTGCTTTGTATTCAGCACCCAGCCTTCAACTGCAAATATCAAACTTGAAGCTCCTTCTCAGCTTGAAGCTCCTTTCACACTGTGACCTTCAATCTGAAATTCCTATCTTCGGTCCCGGTCACACCGCAAGATAATGAGCGGGGGAAGCAAGGCTATTTAACCTGGAGGAAATTGACCCGCAGATCACACAGTTCTTTGAAGCTGTGGGTGTAGCCCGCCACTGCGTGATCAGACGCAATCGCAGGTGAGTTGGGGTTTTTTTCTTGCTGTTTGTTTTCGATTCACTTAAATGGAGGATCAATGAATCGCATCTCCGCACTGAGGTCTTCCTACAGCAGTATGTGATGATGCACATACTGAGAAGGGGGGAAAAAACAATGGCACGGAGTCAGGATGGCCTGATCAGACTATCCCGACACCATGAGAGCGCACTGGAGCGATCAGACAGGGGAAAGTCCGTCTGTGGCCCGTAGCAACCCGTTTAACACTGGATTTCCCCCGGTACTTTCTAACTCCACTTCTTCGGTGGAGCAAGATGGGTTGCCGATGGGTGCAGGATGCTTGCCAGATGTTCCTGTGTGATCACGCCCTTAAAATCGTGCCTATCGCATGGCTAATTCTGCATGTGATTGGGACCTTCATATATTTTTCTGATAGTGCCTTTAGTTTATCTTACATGGAACACGTTTCTTATGAAAATAGAAATTAGTCTCACCCCCAACCCTGAGTATACTCAAAGAAGGAGGAAAATGTGCCACTTTATAATTTTTTAAGAGACAGGAGTGTGGTGCTTATCAGTCAGACCATTCTAACTAAAACTGGCAATCAGGAAGATAGGCAGCACAATCCCCTGAGAAACTGGTGGCAGAGATAAGAAGAGATTTATTTATTTATTTAGAAAACACGTCTCTCCTTTCTTTTATGAATAATACACAAAGCACATAGATCATTCTTTTCAAACAGACAAATCACTCCTGTAGCTTCTCATTACTGTCTTTATACTCATAATATGCTGAAAACACAACAAGATTGTCTTACCCGGGTAACATGCTCTTCATTTGAATAGTCAAAATTGTCCAGTATTGCCTTGAAGGAGTCTAGTATTTCAGCGTGTCTTGCCATATCTGTTGCTAGGATTAAAGTAATTATTCCCTGTGCAAAATAAAAACACTGTTAAAACAGAATATCTGCCTTGCACATCTGTTATCTCTCTTGCTTCCTGATTCTCCCCTTTAAAATATTTTCCACCACACATCTTTTTGGACTCAGGAACAGTACTGTGGGGGCATCTTATAAGGAAAGAAAACTCCGAGTAAAACTGGAAGGCATTATAGCCTCACTGGGATCTCAGCCAATCAGTTCAAGCCACATATGATTTTCAAAAGTCCAGTTTCTTACAACTGTTTCTTACAATTCACAATCTGTGAAGGCTTACTTCATCAGGCCTGGCTGCTTGTCTCCAACAATAACCAATCTTTTATTTCTGAAAGGAGAGGTGCTGATGTTCAAGACTTCCCAGAGCAACACTGACTTGAAAGTTCTTCCTCCTAACCCCAAATTATGACAGGCTGTAATTCCTCAGTAGTAGAGGGAAAATTGTATCTGCTTGAAAACACTCTTGTTTACTGTTCCCATCACATATCCTATAGTTAAACAGAGGCATTTAAACAAAACAGGTTTCAGGGCTAAGCCCAAATAAACTCTAGCACAAATTAAGCCCTGGAAGTATCCACTAAACAGAGGGATCTATCAAATACAGATATATACAATATGTAGTGTACATGGAAAAGAACTTTGTCACAGTCCTTTGGATTGCAGCCCATACCTGCCTTATCCGTTTGAACGGTTCCTGCTCGATATTGGAAAAAATGTTGCATTCCGGCTGTGCAAGAATCTGGAAAGCCACAGCACAGTGGTGGTTCTCAAGTGGGGAAATGTCATTGTAGCGCACAGCAAGCTCTGTTTGGGCATTAATCTGGTACCTGACATTAAAAAAGAGAGACTTTAAAAAAACGCATTAGCAATCTCAATTCCCAAGAGGTCATACTTCTTTGTATTGTGAGACCCATGTGGGTTTGTAATAGATTCCCCCCCACCCCAGCACCTGGGTCTCCTTAAAAATATACTACCTAGTATTACAGTTATTTAAATAATGTGGCCTGGATATAGTGAAAGGACACACATATATGGAAAACACAAGCATGG